TGTGTGTGAATGTTATCTAGAAAGCACCTAGAGAAATGTGCTTGTGCGAATGGGTGTGAATGGGTGAATGCACAAGTTGTGTAAAGCGCTTTGAGTGCTCAGAAGAGTAGAAAAGCGCTATATAAGAACCAGTCCATTTACCAACAGTGGGAAAGTGATACTCACAGATGCAGGCAGAGGCGTCCCCCTGCCCTACTGTGGATTTCACGCGTCGCCTCCCACTGTTGCTATTCTGTCCGTCAGGACTGGATCGCCGGGTTATGCTGGCCGATCGCCGAATGTCTCGTGGCGCCCCCCAGGCAGGCCGGAGGTCCTTCTTTTCATATGCTGGCTTGCACACGTTTTGTTTCCTGCTCCTCACTTTTCGTGTGTCTCTCCTCCCGTCTTTGTGCTCACTATCTCCCTTAAGTCAGTTTGGCGGCTGATAGGCCACCTCGGGGAACACCCCCACCTCACAGGTGCCTACAATTGTCCGCTTAATCCACAGTGGAATAAAAAGAATACTATACAACAACACCAAACACACACTATAAATATGGGAATAAAATCATGCAGTAGGAATATCAATAAACAAACATGCAATAGCAATATTATAATAAAATCATGCAACTAAAATCGACACTATGCACCAACACACAGTGTAATCCAAAATAAAATATAAGAACACAATTTTCCACTGTGTGACATCCCCCCGCATTTTACCTGTGACAGTCCCTGTCACCTTAGTCAAGCGACCTGTAACGGGCGGGTGGCTGACCAAAATTGGGCCTCGTCAAGCGCTGCACCTCTGACAACTCTCCCGGCTGCCAGGCTAGAACACTGGGCACAAAACCATAAAATGGAGGCTCAACTAGCATCTCTCCCTCAAGGCTGGCCCCCTGCCCCTCTGGGTGGTAGTCCGCTGCGGGGGTAATGCACAACTTTAGTGCATTCCAATGGAGGACCTTCTCTCTCCCCCCCTCCCCCCTGTCTCCGGCTGCACCCTTTACAATACAGGTGTAGTACCTGTATTGCCAACCTCTTCCACTACCACATACGGCTCTGAGCTCTAACCTGAGTGCAACTTGCCTTGTCCCTACCTATTCCTGTCCCTTATCCAAACTCTCTTGCCTGGCACCAATGGCAGGGCCCGCGCACTTCGGTCATAAGCCCTCTTGTTTTGGGTGGCTGCTGCCCTCATCTTCTTCCTAGCCATCTCATAGGCAAAAGATAATTTCTGGTGATGGTCCTTAACCCACCCTCCCAGGTCGTGGCATGGGGATTCCCGCTCAACACCTAGGTTTAAATCCACCGGCTGTCTCAAATGCCGCCCAAACATCAGGTACGACGGCACATACCCTGTGGCACTATGGACAGTATTATTGTATGCTTGTAAGAGCTCTGGGAGATATTCTGGCCACCTCTGTTGTCTCTCTGACTCTAGGGACCGAAGCATGTGCAGCAATGTCTGGTTCATCCTCTCAACCCCACCATTTCCAGCCGGATGGTATGGGGTGGTCTTGCTTTTTGTAATGCCATAGCACTTACACAGCTGGTACATCAGGGCAGACTCAAAACTTCCACCTCTATCTGAGTGTAGCCTGGTCGGGCAACCGAAGGTCTGAATCACGTGAGCCCAAAGAGCATGCACTGCAGTCTGAGCAGTCTGGTCTTTGGTGGGAACGTACACACATAGTTTCGATCAAAACAACTCTGCAGTGCACTCTGCCTAGTTTCACTTTCTGTCTGCACCGCTTCCTGTTCTCTGCACAAAGCGTGCAGAGTCTCCTCTCAGTACTCTGTGACCTTTGCTACACATTACAACTCTGGCCTCTATAAAACAATAAAAACAGAAAATAAGGACTAAGAATATATATTTAGCTGAAACTCTTGTTACAAAATAAGTTAATGGCTGTGTGACTGGACAATGGGAAGCTATTCTAAGGCTAAATAGCCAATAGCCTATATCTTGCTGTCTGCAAAAGACAGAGTAACTTAAATATACCATATAACTCCCACAAGTGCATACACTTCGACACAACTACACAAGCAATATTTTAACCTTTTTAACCAAACTTTAACGTTACTCTGTCAACAGCCTAAGTTACCGAGCTAACAGAGCTACATAAACAAAGTGAACATGAGAGCATCTGACTGCAGACATCAATAATGCAGCATAATTGATTAATCTCCCGATCTCCACGAAAGTTATAAACTGCCTTCGGAACCCAGTTAAGGTACAAAAAAAATCTATTCAACAAAAATAGCGACACAGTTCAGTCTTTCATCGCTCAGCCGAGCCATCTCTGTTGCTGTGTGGAGCAGCCTGTGTCAGTCACCTGTTCCACACGTCACTCACTCACTCATCCGTGCATGCACTGTGGTCTCATATGGAAACTCAGCTTTTTGATATGAAGTTTTTCTTGTTCCAAATACAAATATTTTTTTAAAGTATTTGTTTGAAATAAGTATTTGTAAAAGACACGTTATTTGTGTCTTTCCGAATGCCGTATTCGAGTTCGGCTCCACCCCTAGTCCCTACCTTCACCTATGATGTCGAGCTTTGGATAGTGGCCAGAAGAACCAGATTGCAGAAACAAGCAGCAGCAATGAACTTCTCCAAAGGGTGGCTGACCTCTCCCTTAGAGATGGGGTGAGAGGTTCAGCCATCCTGGAGTAGCTCATTGCTTATTACCTACTATAATTTTGTCTTTTCTTTGGTCATATTTTAACTTTCATCCTGTATTCTGAGGAGCTTGGAAAGAAGAGCAACTGGAAGACCAGTTACTTTTCTTTCTAGGCTCCTTGTCATGACCTGGACGACTACACATCCAGATCATGGCATATACATACATATTTCATCCTATATGTTTTATTTTAAAAAATGGTTTCCTGCTTATGAGGACAACATGACTCTGACATAGAGCACAAACTGAGTTTTTGATTTGTTTCTGCTTTTGTGTTTTTCAGAGAATGAGGACAGGTCAGAATAAAGCTAAAAAATTTAAACTCTCGGCGTATGAACAGCGCATTAATGCTCACCGGATTGACCCGCGGACCATGAAGGTAATGCCACTTTATGTTAAGGGTTGTTTAAACTGAAGCTGTAAATATAAACAACAGAGAACTGACAGCATCCAGTACTGACACAAACGGGAAATGTGGGGTTTATTTTAATGCATCACCACTAGCAGGCAATATTCATCCAGATTTCTTCATTTGTGCAGATCACATGGAGGGATATTGCAGGTCTGGAGGAGGTGATCAACGAGCTAAAGAAGAAAATGATCTTCCCTGTTCTGAACAGACATCTGTTCAGGGAATCCAGGCTGCTGCAGCCGCCCAAAGGTCAGCAATCATTCACTTTTTTTTTTTTTTTTGTTCAGGGTCCCCATTAGTATCAGCATTTGCCTTAGTTATTCATAGATGGAATAAAAATTGCAGAAATCAGGACACCCACAGACACTTTTATCAAAATCTACACTGGATGGACAGCTTTTAATCATTACATTACATCTGTATGGGATATATTCAACAAACAATAAACGTTTCTTGCTTGCTGTATTTCCATTTTGATTATATTACCATTTACATTCTTTTACTTTATTGCCAAGATCCATATTATAAGTTGACTTTTGTTCTGATGTAAAGCAGGACATGATCTTTCCAAGCCTGGAAACGAGGGGGCAGTAACAGACTGAACTAGGTGCAAATGAATCAATTGTAACCCATTAGGCCATAGTGCTGGTCTCTCTGTTTTGGGTTGAGTCACATCTTGTGTCACTGTTTATTTAAGACCTACAGGTTGTGGATGAGTTTTTAGTTTCCAACAGAGTTTAATGCACCTCATGCTATTGTTTGCTTGTGTGATTGTGAAGATATTTGTTTAACAAATGCTTAAACTTTGTTTAGTACTCCAGTACTATAATTACCGAAGTACTAAATTGATAGTTTTATCATATCATAGCTTAGCAAATTAGCATTTATTGCATGTTGCTTGTTTGCTGTGTACAACTCTTGATAATGTAGGTGCTCTGAAAAAAGCCTACAATAACAAGTAAACACGTGGACAAAATTGTTGGTATCCTTCAGTCAAAGACAGAAAAACTCACAATGGTCAAAGAAATAACTTTATTCTGACAAAATTAATAATCCATAAATATTCTATGAATGTTAACCAATGAAAGTTGGACATTGCTTTTCAACCATGCTTCAATGGAATTTTTAAAAAAAAAATGCATGGAACCGGCCTAGACAAAAACGATGGTACCCCTAGTAAAGACTGAAAAGAATGTGACTAATTAGCGTCACAGGTGTCTACAATCTTGTAATAGGTCAGTGGCCCTACATATAGGGTTCCAGGTAGTCACTATGTTGTTTGTAGACATGAGCTGTGTCCAAATCCAGGGGAAGGATGCTTCAAATGCTGTATTTGGAGGTAATGACGTGACAGCGACACAATGAACGCTGTCCAAATTCAAAGAGTACTTAAAATGTGGCGACAAATGCGTCTTACTTTTATCCCGAATTTGAAGGATGGCTGTGTCCAAATTCAGGGGAAGGATGCCTCAAATGCCTTATTTGGAGCCAATGATATCACAGCGACACGACAAAGACTGTCCGAATTCAAAGAGTACTCCAAATGTACTCAGTGAACGGGCTCAGTGAACAACCAAGGTCTAGCTGTGGCACAAGCGACACAATCACTATATGCTGTTCCCTAGCATTTTGGGCCACCAAATCCAGCCAGAGATTGCTGTCACTGAATCCTGTGGCATGCTCAATTAAATCCTGTGGTTTCAGCCGGGTGTAGTCGACTACAACTACTTTTCCATCTGATTGGCGATCGTGTTTTATCAGTGATGTCCCATTACCATTTACTTTAGGCTCTTTTGACTTAACTTCCTTAATGCAATTGACTTTTATTAACCCCTTTGGATCTATCCCTGCAGTCTCGACCCCTACATCTAGATATATGGGTTTTTTACGCCACCAATTTCCCATAGACAGGGTCAGTGGATTTTGGATCGGACTATAATCCCTCTGAAGCTTTAGTTCATTACTTTGCCCCTGTTAAGGCGCCACCCAATTTTCCCCAGTGTATCCTCTTACCTGATTCCAGTTCCGACACCAGCTGTCAAAAGGTTGCCTCCCCCATTCACAATGTGTACTTACCGCGTAGTCCCAACACACCCACACATCATTCCCTCTCCAGCTACTGTTTGCTCCCTTACAGTCAAAGACATCGCACAGGTCAAATGTAAATGAAGTTGTGGACCTGTTAACGTAGTCCACCTCTATTCCCCCATATGTGCTGAGACACTCATCCCGTTTACCTGACACCGGTATCACTGGATCTGTTTGGTGATGTGGTCAATTTGGACTCTGGAGTGGATGGATCTCCGTGCCTGGGCAATTAACCTGTCTGCCAAAAAATAAACAAACATATTAAAACACCCCAATTACTTTCCAACCACCCCAGAACCCCATGTGGGAACCTCTCATACTCTCCCTTAGCTTTAGACTGGAGCCCCTGTCTATTAAGCTTCCCCCTTGTTGTCATACCTCTCTTCCGGTCGGGCGATTCTCTGCGATCCTCCTCTTTTTTCTTCGGCCTTCCAGGTAGACTACTGGTCGGCCGTTGCACAGGTAAGAGGATTTATTTCTGCCTCTTTTCTCTTGACACCTGTCGGGTGGAGATAAGCTTTTCTCCACCAAACTTCCTCTCGATGACCTTCAGCCACACCACTTTTGCGTCTGGCACGGACCTGTCCACAGTGCCCACGTCTGCTGCAACCTGTTGTGTGAAACTTGAGACAAGAGCTTTTAGTTCTTTCCAGTATTCTGCATGAGTTCTGTTACTCGGGGGACCGGGACCGCTGTCCATGGCGCTGGAAACTGTCTTCCTGTCAGCAGCTCGTACGGTGTGAAATCTGTGGATTGGTTAACAGAACATGTTATGATCATTAATGCAATGGGCAGGGCTGCAACCCAATTTAGCCCCGTCTGTGAAAAATTTTGGCCAATTTGTTTTTCAAATTTAGGTTCATTCTCTCTACTTTTCCTTGGGACTGAGGATGATACACTGTCCCAAACTTATGTTGCACCCCCAGCATCCGTTCTACTTCTACCAGATCTTTGTTTTTAAAACGGGTCCCATTATCTGACAAAATTCTTTTGGGAAACCCATGTCTGGGGATGTAGTGTTGATCAAACACTTAATCCCACTTTTGGCATCTTCCCTTTTGGTCTCCCATGCCTCTGGCCAGCTGGTCAGAGCAACTACACATACCAACAAATACCTGACTCCTCCTGGACCCACGTCGGTGAAGTTGATGACAATCTCTTCTCCTGGTCTCTCTGGAATGGGAAACTTACCCGCTTCCAGTTTTATCACCGGCTTTGGATTGTGTATCCCACGAATCAGACATGTCCTGGCTTTCTCTTTAATCATGTCTTTCATAAATGGGTGCCAACAGTGACACCGATGTCTCTCCATCTGAGCCACACCCACATGACCAAGACTGTGTGCTGTGGTGATCTTATGTTTGCCATCTTTGCGGTCAGCACAGGTTGCCCACTGGGTCCTCTCCACAAACTACCTTCTTTCCAGGCTCCCCGATTCTGCCACACCCTCTTTTCCTCTGGGGATGCCTCCTCCTGTGCCTTTCTGGCCTCCTCCATCGTGTTGACTCCTGGTTCCTCCTCCTCCACACTTACTTGCACCATCTGCCTTCATCCTTTATATCCTGCAGCCTCCTTTGCGGCTTCATCCGCTTTCTGATTTGCTGAATCTGTGTAAATGTTGACTCTCTTTTCTTTGGCGAGTCTCAAGGCTGGGCTTAACCTCCTAAGACCCGAACTCTTTAATGGCATGCATTTTTTAGTTCTCTTTGATATTTGGGCATATTGGGGTCCAATGAATGTAAAAACGAAGAATTACCAGAATTTTCTTTTTACATTTTTTTTGTTTTTAAGAAAAATAAGAGCCACATATGAGGATATTCATTTAAAATGTTGATAGAACAGTAGCAGGATAATGTCCTCGTAAGTGGATATCAGGCCCTTGTAGAGCAAAATTGAGTATTTTGGTCTAAATGACCCAAAATGTGATGTCCACATATGTGGACGCCAGGTCCTAGGAGATTAATGCAATTACTTCTGCCCTTTGGGCCAACTGCTGCCCTTCAATTTTCCTGGCCTCTTTGACCTCAAATTCAGTTCCGTTTCTGTTTCTACGGCGTAGCCTGCTTTCAGCCCTTCCTCATCTCAATGACAACATCCATCTGTCTTCAGCCTCAGGGATGGGTTCCGCCTTCAGGTCTTCTCTGATCTTTTCTTCAGCTTCTGCTCTCTTGGCACAGTCATGGGGTTCCCCTGACCACATTAAATCTGCCATATTGATCCTTTCATGTGTGAATGTCAGATTTGGAGCATCTAACACTACTCAGTCTCTGCTGTGTCAATGGTGTCATAGTGAATGCTTGTGATTTAACATATGCCACTACACTGTGTGTGGTCAGTACACTCAATGAATGTTCTCTCACTATATGTGCTGTTTTCTGTATGATCTTTGCTACCCCAGCTGCATGTTGTGCAGGATGTCTCATCTCTAATGGATTCAATCTGATGCTGACATTAATAAGTACATGTGGTGGGGCGTGGCCTGCGGTGCCGTGCAGGGAGGGTGGACGCACCTGCACGGCATCCTTAATTATGCCTGCCCAATTAAAAACACAGGGACTCAGGGGTTGGTAGTGTGTTGTGGTGTGACAAATATTGAATAAAATGGCTCAATTGTATGATCCCCGGACCCGCCGTGCCTTATTCACACCACATTGGTTCCGAAACCCAGGCAGCGGCACGGCGGGTCCTTAATGGAGCCAGGGAAGGGAGGAGATGGCCCAGATGGTGGTCGAAATAGGGACCACCCAGCGGGAGCAGGCGGCGGAGGTGCGTCGCCAACAGGAAGTAAATGGTAAATGGTAAATGGCCTGTATTTGTATAGCGCTTTACTAGTCCCTAAGGACCCCAAAGCGCTTTACACATCCAGTAATCCACCCATTCACACACACATTCACACACTGGTGATGGCAAGCTACATTGTAGCCTTCAACGTCTGTTTTCTGGATCGGTTACTGGCAGAGTCATTGGAACCCCAGAGAAACCCATCACACTCACCATGTGATTGGAGAGTGTTGCACTGCTTGGTCTTGCTCTCAGTGTTGAGTAACTTGCTCCAGTGTCCACCAGGAAGGTCATTTCTGTGCCTTCCATGGTCATTGACAATATAGGATCTGCCATTCCCATGTTGTCTGGTGTCTGTGGGTCCTGTCAGTACTGCCCCC